CATACTGATTTCAGGGAAAAGGAGCAGTTCTGGTGACAGCCATACGGGCGAGCATTTCGCTTTAAGTTGAATAATTGTGCTATTTTCTAGTTTGGCGCCTGACGGGACCTATTTGTCATTAAAATAATTGGCCTATGTTGGCACAGGTCCAATTGTCCCCCGCGTTTTTATCTGCTTTTCTTTAGACAAACTCTTCAATCAGTATGGACGTTGTAGACATGCAATTTTGAAAATCGTGTCAAAACAAAACTTAAAAGTCGGAAGGTAGCAGCGACGTGGAGAAGGGACACTGAACCCTTAGTCCGGATCGTTAGCCGTACTCTGAGGGGTAGTTGTCGACAAATGTTGCATCCTAGTCATTTCATGAATTGAACTGCCGAACTCATACTGCGACGGATGTAATCTAGCAGTCATAATGACGCGTGCGGTAGTATCCTCTAGTTTCTTTTCTAGTTGAAGGGCGGAAACAAAAGTCTTGTATTTTTTGATGTTTTTGAAGGTATAAAATACCGGTATAAGAAAGCGATTTTTTCACGCCGGATATTAAATTTTGATAACGTTATCGTGTCTTGAATCCACGTGGGGCCGAACATTTTAATTGCATTTCTATAAAAATTGCATTTCTATAAAATGTTTACTTATTCCATTTGTGGTATAAAACCGCGTAAGATATTGGACGGCAGAATCATAAACACTGGAAACATGTACCTAAATGCTTAATATAGTCCAAATATAAAATTATGCTTGAATTAGGTCTCAGTACTGTGGATCATGAATAGTAGCCCCAAATTCAGTCATTCACGGCAACAGTATTAACCGTCGGCATAGGATCTTGTCCAACAACTCTGCAAGTGGTAGCCAGAAGAATAAATTCGTCAGAGGCATGTATTTTTTCGATGATTTCGCCATTTTACATCAATTCAGTGTTTTCATGCAGGAAAGTAGCACAAAGATCCAATGTCTCACATCCATTTTATAGTCTTCTTTGACGTTTGCACTGAGGAAGAACCTTAGTTTGACTTAAGTACATAGTTCACAATTGTGTAACCTTTTGACACCTCGTGGAATCTTCCGAGAGTCAAATGTTCACCTATTTGTTTGTGATGCCATCATCTCTACCTATTGCAAAATTCGATTTGTCCGGACAAGCCTCACCTCTAAACTTCGAAGAACTAGATAAATAGGCCTTAAAAAATTGTATAGCATGCAGTTTTCAAACCGCATGTACAAGTGAAAATTCCGATTGCATATATGGAAAGTAGTATAGCTTCCAAAATCCGAAATTCAACTGCCCCGGAGGTGTCAGGTGTTGAGAAGGCGCAATCTCCTATATAAAGGGTATAAAAAATAAAATTTTGTGTTTTTGTAAGTATATATGGTTGGATTGACACGAGCAAGAAATAGTAAATAATACAGAAGTGATTTTTCCGTTCGATTTTGAGGCTCAAGAAATTTTCGTCTTAAAAATGGGTGACTATTTGCGACTTCAGCGCTGCACAACTGCGGTGTGCTCATGGATGTCTGGGGAAAGACATCATTTGACTTGGCATCTATAAATATCGCATGGGATCAATGAGGCTATTTTATCACATGCCCACAGGTTCGACAGAATCCGCTGAAGGAACCATTACCGTACACCCAGATCGTGCCGCGACAAGTCTACATGTATGTGTTCCTGCTGTCTAAGCCACTGCGACTAAACACATTGGAAAGCTGACTGAGGTATGGATAGGAAAGAATGAGCGAGGCCAACAAAAGTGAATTCATCCACACGGGGCATCAGCGCATTCCTATACTATAATAAATCGGACATTATTGAATCCATAATAACACGCTAAATTCGTGGCTTAGAAAACTGTCAACTGAGAATATAACTTCAGACCTTCTCAGAGCCGAAAGTCAGACAGCAATAGCTCCTTCTTATGTGGCTTTTGTGGCTCCCTCATGTTTGTGAGATCTCAACGGACACCAATAAGGCCCAGTAAGTGCTGTGGCGATCAAATCATGTGTGATATGCATGGACAACCTGTTCAGTACTGCCAGTCATTGTTCTCGATTTCGCACCCGGAAACCACTAATGCCAAATGGATAAGGTGAAATGATTTAATGCGCAAGCCATTATCCCACATCCATCCCCTTGGGCATATGTTGGAAATCGTCGTTATCGACGATCGGACTGTTAAGTATAGGTGTACAGTTATGGCACCTCAAATTATAAGCTTGAATTTTATGTTCAACTGCAGTTCTTAGGACAACTATTTCTGAACCAGTGATTTTCATCGTTTACTCCTTACAGCGACTTTGTCTTTCGGATTTACAAAAACATCACGATGTGCCCAATGAAATGACAATGGAATCGAAGAGACGAGTCACAGGAAGCAGTCTTGAAGACGGTGACACGATCGCTGGGGCATGAGCTTCATTAACCTAGCGTTTCGGATTCCTGCCCGAACCCATCATCAGAGACAAAAGCAGATAGGGGTGATTCATGCATAAGGGGCTGCAGTATTTATAGGATGCAGGAGCCATGCTACCGAATACCTACGAATATTGACGGCTACACCCCCCCCTTCAACAGCGATCGTTGCCCATGGAGTGATGACTTTTTGATGGCCGACATTTGCGTCGTTAATTGCTGCAATTTCATCACGTGCGTTGGAAGTTGATGTGATAATTGCTCGACCATATGACGCGCTGACCCTGGTGTTGGGAAAAATGTTAACCTGTGCACTCCCTGCTGACCAATTACTCCGCCTAGATGAAGTCTCAGCACCGAGTATGGAATGGGAAGATCATTGCACTTGTTAATAGACTGGGGGCCAGTAAACCATGACTCAAGGAGCTCCCGGTTCACGCGGTGGTCACCTCTTGTGAGAATTTCGGCCTCGTCAAATTTGAATGTGTGGCCGGATCTCGTCGAATGAGCTGCAACTTGAGAGCTAGCGTCAGTTCTCCGCACCGCTGCAGCGTGTTCGGACATTCGCGTTCGCAGTTGTCTTCCGGACGAATGGCAGGATTTCACACGAAGGGTGGGGGCTACTTGTTTCTAAAATGTGTAAGAGTGCCATACAGGCCACATAATGAAGGAACCATCGTAGTCTGGCTTGCAGATCACCAGTCCGCCAGTCCAGGCACAAATACACCAGGCTGGCTGCAAGTCTGATTTGAACCGGCGGTTTCCGACCCGCCGTTTCGCCTATCGCTGATGTTCTCGAGTATGTTAAATTGTCTACAGTGAGAAAACTGCTCTGATGATCGAACTTGCTTGCTCCTTCCCTGCCTGAACACCAGTCGACCATCCCAGCCGTCGAAATAACTGATGTTGAGATTAGGAGAGGTGACTGGAAGAGTCTAAATCAGCCCATTTGCGCGTGCCTTACGCACGACATCACCCCACAAAACACGCCGGTAGTTCACACAAACAAAGAGAGTTAAGTACGGGGATTTCACATGTAGTAGAGAAGCCAAATGGAGGAGCCGACGAATATGCTTCCCACTTACATGAGAGGTAACTAGTTTGCGTCTCCGGTGTGTGATGTCGGATGTGTTCATGCGTAGCGCATGTTTTGGTGGGGAAATGTGCAGTTATTTGCTTTGGCCTGCGGTATTTTTCCGCAGGTTTTCTTCGATGCGCATGTGACCAACTAAGCCCATGCAATGGCTGAGAGTGTGAAGTCAGTGCGAATAGTTGAGGCAATGACGGCGAGCTATGCTGGTGGTCCAGGCACAGGTACGTGCAATAGATTCGCATTTGACCGGTCATATCGATGCGTAAGGGGAATGTGCGATGACAGTGAGAGTGTACTTGGAGGCAGAAGATAGGGTTGTTGGGTTTTTGTTGTAATAGTTTCGGAGATATCCCCCGAGGCCGATTTGTACGCGGAATGTGTGTTGGCAGCGTGGACATGTTGAAAAGGACTAGGTGATGGCGTTGCGGACCGGGGACGCTTGAGACTTTTAAGTTGCTCTTTTGCCTTTGAAAGCGGCAATACGGTTGGCTTCATAGTCTCCACTGTTCTTTTCCAGTTCGATCGGTCCTGGGTGAGGTCTTCACAGGTCTCACGGGTAGACTTACGAGTGCTTTAGGGGGTTCTTCGCTACGACCTTGCACCTCGTGCTTGTCGGCATCGTCAGCGGGCCCATATAACGACGCTCACGTAGAAGAATCGCTTAGGTACTGGCTCGTCGTCTGTCTCCCAGAGGTGACCGTTCCATTGCAAGTGCTGTTGTCCCACCATGGCTTGGATGTTAACGATGTCGATTCGCTCCAAGACTTCCATGTCGATAATCCCGTCCTGCCATCTCACCTTTAGTATGCTTCGGTGACAGCTGAAATGGAAGTGCAAATGAAATAAACTATAAGCAAAATACAAGATACGAAGTGGAAGGCTTTTGTTATCAGTAGTCTGTTTGACGAAAACACGAGAGTTCAATCAACTATAGAAGTGACACAATGTTGGAGGCCTATACTGGAAAGTCGCAGATGCTTCGCGGATTCTCTAATTCGCGACATAGCTAATAACCTGTTGGGGGGGCAGTTTAAATCCAAAATCATAAATATCATGCCCTAGCCTGACTGTGATCAGCAAAAAGCAAGTACGGCGGGCAAAATTAAAAGTCACTGAAGAAATGACCTGATCGTCAAGTGCGCGTAGAAAGCGCGTGTCTGTGGCCAACGCTGAGTTGGTTGTGTTAAATCACCCAGTGCAGCAAAGGAATGATATTAAAAAGGAATAGTGGGAGGCGGTGACAATGTCAAGTAGATGGGCACTGCCGCCAGAAATCAAAAGGGCGGAGTCCTGGAATTGGAGTTCGGAAACTTCCTCATCACAGGGAGAAGCAACGCGGCGTTGTTCGGCAGCCATCTCGGTGAGGTTACTTTCAGGTGAGTAAAAAATGAATGATTAAGAGCATGGACAGTGCGCCAGTTCCTACATTCCGTGTTCCGTCGCTGTTGTGGATATTTAAAGTGGACTGGGAGTTATAGTGCAAGTAGCCAATTACTCAGGTGTTTTGCTCGGCAGAAGGGGGTTGTGATGCGGGAATACAGTAAGGTCTTTGCCCTCATGGAAATGCTGGAAGTGTTTCACGGCCAAGTAGGCAGCCAGAAGCTTCCCCTTGAATGTTTCTGCAGCGCGAGTTGGCGGAGACAGCTTTTTGCAAAAGAAACGTAGGGGTTGGGCCTGACCTGCTAGAGAGTGCAGGAGAACCGCAGCGTTGGAGGCACTAACAATAAGTAAATTAGATGCGTCTGGAGCAGACTGGTCCAGGAGTGCGGCGTCAGCCATGGCATCCCTCTTCTTGTCAAAAAGTGTGAGGGTGGCTGCGAAGAGCTCGAACCAACCTTTGGGACCCCAGAGGAGGGTCTTGTACGCCAGAATGTTATCGCCAAATTTTGGGAGGAACTGGCAATAAAAGTTAATAATGCTGAGAGTGAGCTGGAAGGTTGAGCTTTCCGGGGATATAAATTGGCATGGATGGAAGCGAATATGCAAATCCCAGGTTCTTGTTGTAAAGAAGATGAACAACCGATCTCTGGAATAGTAGGTGTATTAGTCTGGGCGTTTGGTCACGTTCAGGAGGCCATCGTCAAACTACTCAGAAGACGAAGATGCGATCACTGGAACAAGAAATTTATTGGTCTGACGTTTCAGATTCTCACTCGAATCCATCATCAGAGACGGTCGCAGACGCCTACTACTACTACTACTACTACTACTTCTACTACTACTACTACTACTACTACTTCTACTACTACTAATACTACTACTACTACTACTAACGCACCTACTATTCCGGAGATCGTTTGTTCACCTTCTTTATAAACTGGCGTATTAATGGCGAAATTTTGACGGTAGTTCCCCAATCACCATGAAAAAGGCTAGATCCACAATCCAGGTTTAATTTCCCTTTATCACCTTTCAATTATAAATGCAACATGACGAATTGGTCAGAGAAAAAAACAAATTTTTAACGTCCTCGTCTACAGACCACCGTATGACATTCGGGAAACGGTCGCATACATAAAGAACACTAACGCAAATCGGACTTTCGCCTTTTATATGACCATCAACCAAAGCACAAGAAAAGCTGCACGAGGGTTCTGCTCGGAAGTATACGCCCTAGACGGGGAGAGGTCGGTAGGACCCGCTGGTCACTCGACCGGTTTTAAAGAACAGCCACCTCAAGGCATTCAACATCAACTGCCCACCACTTCTCCAGAAGGGAGAAGCTGCTAACAGTGCTCAAACGGGGTATCTCAAGCGGTTTTCACTACCTCATACCGGCGCCATCTCCGTGGCTTAACGAAAATAACAGAGACGCGTAGAAGAAACTTACCCACAACCTCCAGGTATAAACACCACAGTCTCGTCCAACTTCCACCACGCTCGGACCAGTCACCCAGGAGAGACAACCATGTGGCGGCAAACAACATGGATAACAGGAAAAAATCAATAATAACAAGGATGACCAACTGGAAAACTCCCATATTACAGCGCACAGTTTGACGATGGACGTCAAATGTAGTCAGTTCGAACGTTAGACGTGTAGGCGATTCGTTTACCCATCTAATATTATTAAGCTTAACGAGCGGTCCTGAAAATAACCTATCGTGTTTCCTCATTTGCTTGATCCTAAAATGAAGATGGGGTCATGGTAGTGACATCACGCAACATATTTATCAAGGTAGCGTGTCCTAAGGCGTCCTCTGCTAACGTTTACCGCTGAAATGAACGGCAAAACCCATAAAACCTTAGAAGAGCGTCAAACTGGCTTACCATGTGAAAAAACTAACCGCGTGATGTTGCAATTCCAAGGTGTTAGCCTTCAACTGAGCCCAGTTTCAGCCACTTACGTTAATCACACTCATAAAATCACTAAGTAATTTGTGATTTTTTCCATTAGACTTCGTCATCCGTTGAAGGTCGCTCATACTGCATGAAGGTACCTAATAAGCTTTCATATCTTTTTAATTGGTCTTGTAGGGACCTGCCTTTTTTCAGATATTGCACTTGCGGGTTAAAGGTTAACAAGTTTACAAATTGTTGCATGCGTTTGATCAGAGGCTGCGTTTATATTTGCATTAAGGGTTTTCACAATACTTTTACGGGTTCTATGGGAATTAACTTAGCTACTTATTCTTATTCCTGGTGCTAATATAGAGCTGAGATATATGTGGTTTCAAGGGACTCAATAAATGTTCTTAAATTGTCTCCCATGAAGGATTCTATCGGAAGTTCAAAAAATTTAATTCTCGCCTCCGACAAAAATTTCGGCCTCGTCGAATTCGAATGTTTGGCCATACTCGGTGTTGAGATTTCGCCTAGGCGAAGTAATTAGCCACTTGGGGAATGCACAGGTGAACACTGTTCCAGGCGCCAGGGTCGGTGGGTCAGATGGTCGGGCAATCATCACACCAACTTCCAACACCCGTGATGGAATTGCCGCGATTAAGGACGCCACCGAACAGCCATCACACCAAGTGCAACAATCCCCTATGGAGGGTGCAAGCCGTGAATTTTCATAGGTATGCGGTAGCATGGCGACTGTACCCTGTAAATACTGCAGCCCCTTGTACATGAACCCTCCGTATCTGCTATTGTCTCCGACGATGTGTTCGAGCCAGAAATCCGGGACGTCAGACGTATAAAATCTTCTGGCCTACGGCATTCAGACTGCAGATTTCTGTAATTATTACCACGATGGTACAGGGCTTTTAAAGTCCGCACATACTTAGGTCGTCTCAATGGTCACCTGTAAGGAAGTTAAAGTGCAAAGAATGGGAACGGCCACTTTGTTTGCAGAATCAAACTAAAATTAGCCTCATTTACTCCCACTGTGGGCTTTTTATGGCGTCCTCAACAACAGTCCTCAAATATACTCACTGAACTTCCGTATCCATGAATGGGCTTAGTTCAACAAAATGTTTCTTTACACACTCCTAAAGCGTAGGCAAAGAACTTTGGGGCCATTTTTGAGCGCGCCTCTTTCTTTGATTGTTGGCCAATATTGCCATTAGATTTTCTAAAATCATTCCCAATTCGCTTTAGTGCGCATTCACAGGCCGGTTTGCACATGAGTTGTGGAGTTTCTGGACATCCCGGGAGTTTTTAAATTTCTGTTGATAGACGATTTTATTTATTAGCTTAAGGCTTATATTTGTACTGCGGAAAAATTGCCGTCTAATATTAATAGGACATATGACGAAGAATAAAGTCATCAGCTGTCAAAATATAAAACCTGGAAGGCAAACATTTGAATGTTCAGAAATATTTTTGCAACGAAAAGCTTTGCAAACGATGATAGCATGAGAAGGAAATATAAATGCTGTCGAAGGTTCAGGTTTTATCTCATGAACTAGCTGGATATGGTGCCAAAATAAAAGGCCACTTATAGTTACTGGGCAACCGATTTGACCTTTTAGCTTCTCGATTAAAACGTTTTTACTTAGAATCTGATTGCTTGATAATTCTCGTCCTAGAAGAATAGGGGAGATGTCAGCTTGAATCAAGGTACTTGTCTCCAAATGCCCAAAGCTTTAAACATTTGCGCTCAAGTTATTGAAACTCAGGACATTTATTAAACACCATCGGGAGATGGCACCCAAAGAAATCTGTTACCAAGAAATAATGCCTTTAACAGTGGACTCAAACGCCTTCAGGCTATATCAGCGGTTGCAGGCCTACTTTCACGCACTACTTGAACTTTTTGCGACGGCCTAACATGGGCTGGCCGAACGAACATCGCAGGAGGTTACATGGACGATAGTCGCTGCTACCCAACCTTCGTTGTACACGTACACCTGGATATACGGCATACATTCGCATAATGACACTTTATTACAAAACAAAATCACTTCTAAATCGGATAGGTCTGCACAACATGGGACAGGAACGGTTCCCAAGCATCTGTCAAAGACATGGCATTGAGGCCATACCAAAGACGATACTGTACTTCGTCTATTTGAGGTTATCGGTAAAAATGCTTATCTACACCGAAATTCACTCGGAAAACTTAGATGACAACATCGGCATTCTGCTGCAGTATCCCGAAAAACGTGCAGGAAGATAAAACCTTTTCTGTTCCCCATCTGAGTATCTGGAAATCGTCAAGAGGAAGAAGAAGAGGAAGAATAAGAGGTATGATGAGAAGTGCGAGAAGAGTAGTGTCACTAATCAAACTGGAAGATTCAGATGGTATAGTAAATTGCCGTGTTGTAAATACAGAGGCCTTTATTTGCAAAACCCTCGTAGCCGAATTGTACGGTTTGTGCAGTGAACTGTATCAAGGCAAATCCACGAAAGGCAGGAGTATATGCTCAATTCTGGTAAGTCATTCAATGTGGACACTAGCGCTTACATTCACAAACAGAGGTTCAGCGGGTATCTTGAAGAAAAGTTCTACTTCACATTTTAGGACTAGCAATCTATTCCAGATTCTTGTTACACCCCAGGAACTACCAAAGTCACTATCGAGTTGACGGTGGCTGGTATGTCAGAATGACTCACCAGACTAATCTCTCAGAAGGGATGAATATTTAACAAGCCCAGAGTGCAAACCTTCAATAAAAAAAACCATAAGACTGTAGCAAGCTTTATATCCGATCAAGAGGAACGACAAAAACTTAACGTTGATATGCCTCTACCAGAAAAATGCTTCAAGAGGTTTATTGGTTTGTACTGTTCTGCACGGGGAGATCATGCGAAAATGACAAAACTGATGAGGACTTCAAGCAGTTGTCAACAGAAACACTTGACCACTTTGGACATTCCTAGATAACTCGCAACTTCTAGAGCAAACACGGAATGTACAAGAGGAAATTACTGGTATTTTTGCTGGTCACTGTTTCAAGTCAAGATATTGGAGTATACTAATGAACCCTCCTTAGATACATAAACAGGAAGTGCATCCAAGCCCTTCTCCTTAAGAACATCACACGGTATACTATAATCCTCACTGCAACATACTGCTATAATAAGAATTTTTTACCCTGGAATGGGAAATACTTATTTTTCTTTATCTGCTGACCACTACATCTTACCACAGCAAAGATTTTCCATAAATGAGATGCCCCAGTATATACAGTTCCATATTGCTCATACATTCGACATATCATGTTGTGTTTGGTTTGCTCTAGATTTTCGAAATATCTTGTTTTAATTATATACCGCATTAGTTCTCCGTCTTACTAACAAGGCCCCTTAGTGATCAATTTTCTGTTTCAGAAAATACTTCGTATCCGTAGAAACTTTTACATGGTGCGAGGAATTTTAATCCCGAATGTGTGACGCTCTATCTTTAGTTGGGAGAGGTTCGACTAAAATTTCAGGTTAGAAAATTCAGCTGGATGCTCCTCTAAACAAGAGTCCTGCTTCGTCGCTACATAGTTGCCTCCTTTCGGTAAAATTTGTCAATTTTCAATAGAGTATAAAGGAGACTCGGTCTCTCTCTCTGTCCAGTTGAAAGATAACTAACGAAGCTAGGAAAGATAGGTCTAAATGACACGAAAGCGGAAATGATCTTTGGTTGTTCTAAATAGAATTGTGGTATCTAAATGAATCTTGTTTGCAAAAATACTTTTCCACTAGAAGGCCAAACGACCACAACTGATCTGGAGCATCGGTCTGAAGAAATTCTCTCGAAACCACAAAAGATTTATACAGTCTTACTCGCGCATTTCCAGATAAGTCAGGACGCCGACTGACTAACTGTGAGAAGGCGTAACTACGGCTCATTTTAATTTTGTCTGATTCATGAAGTCTTGTGCTAACCCAATAACTTCTCTTATTTAAGTACTTATGAAGGCTAATTGGATGCCTTTTCCTATTTCCACTTTGAGCAAATATACTGTTCGACACGAACAGTTTTATCTTTTGACTCATCGCTATCCTAGATTTGACTTTCTATCAAACCGTCTTAATTATGCACATTTTCCCTTTCGGCCTCCATGCTCAACACAAATTCGCCGACATTTTTGCCATTCTGCATACATTAATTCGCCTCCGCTCGTTTTTATGGCTCTTTGCGGACTACACTGATCCTGTTTTGACTTCGTGTCTTATTTAAATCCACCGCCCAGTGTTAAATTCTGGATGAATTTTCTTCCCAATCTGCTAACACAATAGTCTCACTGGAAGAGAGCAAACGTCTGCCAAAATGCTATATTTGACACTGGGATTTTCAGACGAATATATTTCGCATTAGACTATAGATAATGCATCTTCATCTTAAGTACAATAATTTGTCAGTAACGCATCCCAGTGACTACTTCCGGGTAGTAATTTTCGCAGAACCATTTAGCAGTCCGTGAATTGTGCTGTGTATGCAACTGTTCAGCTCGACCCAGTTAGTACATACTTCGTACACTTAAACTCTAGAGGTGTTGAAAATGAAACGCGAAATAGCCTTATTTGGCTCGCAAAAAACAACAGGCACCGATCCGCAGAAATATTAATAACTTGGGTTCGTTCTAAGTCAACTGGTTCCATGCTAAGTAGTCGGTTTGTAAATTAAAGGGCTACTTATTAACCATGCAAGAAATAAGAACTTTAGTTGGAAGATACGACTTGAAGGATTTGGCGCCCAGTGTATTAGATGAATTTCAGGGAAATTCTCTTCCTGAGGACAGTTAAAAGTGAAGTTTTACTCAGACATGTCACTCACCCATCTGCCAACCTCAAAACCGGTCATCCTGGGTGTGAATTAGTTTACAGCTTATCTCAAAGGTTATTTTTAACGGCGTTTAAATCTCGTATGTTCGCGACCTATAGCTGACCCCCGG